AAAATCAGCAAATGGAAAACAATACTATGACTGCAGCAAGATAGTGTGCCACTGTCAGGCTGCCCGAGAATCAAACTCTATCTTTGACTTCTCTTGTCTGTTCACACACACGCTTTTCCTTTTCTACTGCAATGGCTTTCTTAGAAAAATTGTTTCCTCTCTTGCTATCTTACCAAAGAGCTTGATCTGATTGCTGTAGGAAAGCAGGTCAAATGTTGTGTGGTAATCATGTGTATGATACAGCCCAGAGTCCAACTCCCATTAGGTTAACTTCTAATGCCTACAACTCTACTAAAATTTTGTCAATGCTGCCTCATATGCCAAACATACTATAAATATACCGGTAAATTATATATTTTACACTTTTAAATGCACATCTGCAGATGGAATGGTTCAGCAACATCACAAATCACACATTAACATTGAACCTGAACACTCACGCAAAGTCAACAACTGAAACAAGAGTGCTGAGACAAAGGGACAAGACAATGAAAAACAATGAACTGTAGTGTGTGGGGAGTAATTAATCCAGAATTTAATTGACATCTACAGAGTAGATAATAAACAAGAGTGGCATTTCAATAGTTTATGGCAGTCATTCAAATCCAGTGATTAAATCAATGCCTTGTATCTGTATATCAGTAGAATTATTCTCATCTGTACACAGACATACGAATTAAATGACAGGCAGATTTCAGCACAAGGTCACTAACTGAAGATGCCTAGGCTGTTATGCCATTTTAGTCAATGTAACGATGACCGAAAATGTTCAGGTTGTGTCCTCTCAAAACTGTGAAGAGTTTAATGGGATAGTAGGAACTGCAGATGCTGGAGAATCTGAGATAACAAGGTGTAGAGCTGGATGAACACAGCAGACCAAGCAGCATCAGAGGAGCAGGAAAGCTGACATTTCAGGTCTAGACCTTTCTTCAGAAATGGGGGAGGGCAAGTTGTCCTCGCCTCCCTAACCTGTCCTTCCTCCCACCTATCCCCTCCTCCCACCTCAAGCCCCACCCCCATCTCTGACCTACTAGCCTCATCCCGCCCCCTTGACCTGTCCGTCCTCCCTGGACTGACCTATCCCCTCCTTAACTCCCCACCTACACTCACCTTTACTGGCTCCATCCCCGCCTCTTTGACCTGTCTGTCTCCTCTCCACCTATCTTCTCCTCTATCCATCTTCTATCCGCCTCCCACTCTCTCCCTATTTATTTCAGATCCCCCTTCCCCTCCCCCATTTCTGAAGAAGGGTCTAGGCCCGAAACGTCAGCTTTCCTGCTCGGCCTGCTGTGTTCATCCAGCTCTACACCTTGTTTTCTAAGGGTTTAATGGCCTAGTTTTGATAACAGAACTGAGTTCAGTAAATTATCAAGAAGCTGCTGCTTCTTTGTAAAAGCTCAAAAGATTCATTAATTTAGTTTGCTGAAGAGAACCCAAGATCCCAGATATGGAAGTCAAGTTAGCAGGTGGTGAGGTAGAGCTGGGTGTCATTGGTGTACACGTGAAAATGAACACTACGCTTTGGAATGACGTCAGCAAGGAGCAGCATGTAGATGGGAATAGGAGGAAGCCACAGTCACCTCCAGTGTTCCCGAAGGATCTAATGGTGCGGGACCAGGAAGGAAATCTACTGCAACCGAGTTTCTGCATAGAACCAACTGAAAGCAGTCCCACCCAGCTGGACAATGGTGGAGAGGTGAAAGATGGTTACGTTCTCAAAAGGACAAGGAGAAAATGTCTACTTTTGGCACAATCAAACAGAATATCATCAATGAATTTGATCGGACTTGTTTTGATACTATTACAGGGATTGAAATGTGGAAACAAGGGAATGAAATTGGGAAACAATAACAAGTTCTAGTACTTTGGACAGGAAAGGGAGGATGGAGATAGGACGGACAGCAAATTAAGAATTGTATTTTTTTTTGAGAGAAGTGATAACAATAAATTTCAAGGAGAGAGGGACAACACCTAAAGAGAGAAAACTGTTAAAAATATCAACTGACATGGGGGCCAGGGACCAGGAAATCTGCTGGACAGCCGTTTAGTGGGAATAAGATTAAGGGCACTCAGAGGGCATGTGACGAGGTAGGAGAGAAATGAGAGAAAGATGCAAGTTCAAGCTTGGGTAGGAGGCAGCTTTGGAGGAAATTGGGCCCAGTGGACGAGAGAGATCAAGGAATCGATCAGAGTCAGTTGATCACATCTTAGAGACAAAACAGTCCATGAGCTCCTCACAATTATGTTGGAAGTGAAGGTTGACGGGGAGAAGGGTTTAAGACGAAGGGTTTATAGTACATAAAAGAAGCTGGCAGTTATCTTGACATTCAAGGGTGATCCTGAATTAATGAGCTGTTTTAAAAATGAAAGCAGCACGCAATGGGGTTTTAAGTGATCCAAACAAATCTGGCAGTGAATGGCTTAGACAGTTGTCAGCTGTGTTCCCTCAGGCCTGCATCCAATGCACCTCAAAAGCAAAGACAGGGCACAGCTAGGATGACAACAATGAATCCTCTTTTGGGGGGTGGGGGAAGATGGAACAGTATGTACAGGGCACAGGGGAAGCCTAGGGCATCAAAACAGGAGGCGAGGATGTGGTGGAGAAGCAGTTGCTTAAACAGAGGGGCAGAGACCAGACAGTGAGGATTTTGACAATACAAGTTTAAGTGAATTAGTAAGTACGGTTCTGTTGCTGGTCCTCAAGGACTAGATCTGAAGTAAATTAAAAGCATCTTACAAAAGCTTACTGCATGGTGCCACTGCGTGATTTTTTTATTTCCCCCTTTTGGTACATCAGGATCAATACACCACGTAAACACAGTGGCGACATTTATCTTTACTGATAAACTATCAAGAACAAAGAGATTTCGTCAAAGAGGAAGTAGTGATTAGATATTCAAAGTTTGAAGATTGTGCCTGGAAGGAAAACATGACGAAGGTGATGAGTTCCAAAGGCCTGCGGTTCTGGTAAAGGCTAAGCAATAGGAGTCACAATACTTAATTATTGGTATAATTTCTACATTATAAACATTTTTCTACATTAGTCCATTATTTCTGATACACTACAAGGATGGTTCCTGAGATCAAATAGCTAAAATATCACACTGATCATCAGTTTTGCTTAAACACCCATCTACTACAGCAATCTCCAATGGGACTAGATCATCTAAAGTCTGGCTAAACATAATAACATGTCACACGTGTCTCTTCGGCTAAATTGCTCTGATACACTACATCTTAACATCAAAAGGTGACCACATTCACTGAGGCTAATGAAACACAGCAAAAACCACAGCACCAAACAAGTAATATATCACAGAACCCATCTACTGCTACAACTTTATTACATGCTTGATCTTTCTGTGAATGAGCAACGTGATTGCACGTTGAGACAAGAAAAGCTACCCTAAAAGCTACATTTTTATCTAAGCTTTTGATCATCATACCTAACATCTCCTCATGTGGTTTGGTGTCTACATTACAATGCTCCTGTAAGCTATGTTAAAGGCACTTGGCAAACTTAACCTCTTGTTTACATCTGGGGGGATTTTAACTCTGGCATCTCGTTTTCATATTTTCGTCCCCAAATTTAGGAGCATAGAAACAGAAGCAGGCTATTCAGCCTATCAAGCCTGCCCCACCAGTTAATATGATCACGGCTAATCAAACACAGCAATGCTTTTTACTCACCCCATTCCTATAACCCTTGTACACCATTGCAGAGATTGATAACCAGAAATCTAGCATTGAACATATCGCCCTTTGCAGTAGAGAATTCCAAAGGTTCACACCCCTCTGAGTAAAAAGATTTCTCCTCCTTTTGAGCATAAGTGGCACCCTCCTCCTTATTTTTAAATTGTGTCCCGGTTATAGATTTCCCAACCAGGGGAAACATCTTACCTGCATCTCCCTGTCTATCTCTAAGTATTTTGTAAGTTTTAATGAGATCACCTCTCATTTTTCAAAACTCAAGAATATAGGTCCTGTTTGTCCCGTCTCTCTTCTAGGTCAGTACGGCTATCCTGGGAATGAGTCTTGGGAACCTTCACTGCATGCCCTTTATGACAATATCATCTTTCCTGAGGCAAAGATACCAAACTAAACATAGCACACCAGTTGCAGTCTAAGCTCACGCCTAAACACATGTCTGTATCTTGCTGAAATGGCTGTCTGTTTGATGTGGGCAGGAGTGAAAATCCAGTGATAAGGAACTGGCACTAGGACCCACTGGGAAATCTGTCTCTAGCATAGGGCTACCCGGTCCCCAAGCTCTGGTGATCCCCAAACTGGGAAAATAGGCAACTGGGAGGAACTGCAAGCCAACGTGGGGGTGACCTTTCAATAACTGAGGGTGGCATTGTGTGACCTTTCATTTCCAGTTCAGTTTAAAAGCAGCAAGGAGTCATGATTAGTGAGATTTTTAAATCCTTATTTGAACTCCATTTGAATTACACGTAAGAAGTAAAAGAGGAGTGTATGAGAGACTGGAATGTACGAGAGACAGCAATGAATGGTAATCCCAGCAAAGTTACACCTGCGGACTCAGAGGCCTTCACTTGTGGATTGGAAAGAAGAGCTGGAGAGGCTAGGGGCGAGTGGGGTTTTTGGATGATTACACTTTGTCATTTGCACTGGGCTCCATATCCCCTGGAGGCAGCGCTACACACAATACTGGTAGCTAAAAATATAAATCAACAAGAAGAACCAATTGCTCCTCAAAGATATGAGGCTTAGTTCTGTAGTCCATTTAAAATCAGATTCCGGATTAACGAATGATAATTATTCACAGAAATTATGTCAATTCCAGAAAAGAATCTTTAATACCACTGAGAACACAATACATATAACTGGAAAGCTTCAGCCTTCAGCTTATTTTGTGATAACTGATTATTAGTGACAAACAAATACTCTCCCCCTCACACACATACACGCACCTACATTCTCAAAGGAAAAGCAACTTGTTTTGCCAAGATTTACGTATCTTTGGGTTTGAAGTGTACCTGTGCAAGGCGTCTCAGCAGCAGTTCTGCGGATGGTCTGGACCAATTCAGGAAGATCTCAGGGACAAGAGTGATGGTCATCTCCAGGACCCTTAGCAAGCTCACGGAAAGATCAAAGCAGGTGGCACAAACCTTCAGCTGCCGACTGTCGACAAAATTTCGCTCTGGCCGTTCGGCTGCCTGCTGAATCTATCAGGACAAGGAAAGAGCAGTGTGAAAGGACAAAAAGAAGCTACTTCAAGATTGCAACAAGGATCTGACTACTCAAATGAACTGAATCTACTGCGACAAGGGAAGAGCAGTGTCAACGGACAGAGAGAACTCTACTTCCACAAGGATCAAAATAAAATCGCTCTGACGGATTAAACCAAGTCCATATCTCTTTTCTTTTTTCATCTTTACTGTTCCCATGCCTTCCTTCTTTTCATTTTGCCCTTCTAGTGTACTTTGCCATCCCAAATCCTGATTTCAACCTTTTCTCCAATATGGTGGCGGCAGAGTAGGCAGCACCCAGGCTCAGCCCAGGGCCCACCCTTTCTGTCCGCTTCTCTTTCTTTTCCCCTTTTCTCATTTCTTCTCTTTTTGTTTTCAGATTTTTAAAAATTTAGCTTGTAGAGAGAATGGCAGTGACGGCACCAGAGCATTACAGCAGCTGAGGGGCCAGCACGGGACGTCCAGCGGGCCTGCAGCGGAGTGGGATGGCCAGCGGTCAGCGAGCAAAGACCAAAGCAACCGGCAGGAGACCTGGAGCGGGGCAGCTGGTGGTCAGCAGACTGGGGCCTGGTGCGGTCAGCCTGTCACAGACGGCAGTCAGCGGCTTGCGAGCCAGTTGGGGTTGGCCAAGCACGGGAGAGAACAAGACCACACGTGTAATGACCCCACTAAAAGGGCTGTTCTGCCTGATCCCATCATTCATCCCTTACGAAGGTGGAAAAGCACAACAGGTCGGACAGCTTCCGAGGTGCAGGTAAATCAACGTTTCGGGCTCAAACCTTTCGTCAAGACTGGTTTTGGCCCAAAACATAGACTCACCTGCTGCTCGGGTGCTGTCTGACCTGCTGTGCTTTTCCAGCCTTACACTGATAGACTCTGGCTTCCAGCATCAGCAGTTCTTATTGTCTCTATCCTTCCTGATGAATTCTATAGAGGTTCCTCCACATTTAGGATGTGATTGAATGTCTGAATGCACACACCAAATTGTCTGCACTCCTTAAATCACAGCTCCGTCAAGCTCCAACTATACTTTAGCCATATGGAGAGTGTCAATGACAGAGTCCCACTCTTTGCTTTTACACACTGGACAACTACTGTGCTGCAGCATGCTCTCGCTAAGCACCTATGTGACAGAACAATAACATTTCTCTGAGCTCAGATGTGTTGAGAGGCAGATGATGTTAGGACTCCTCTGAGGAAAATACTGCTATGCTGCGGGGAATCAACGGGCTGACACTGATGCTAATCCGTCGTTAGAAACAAAAGCACTGAATGACAGGGTAAGAAAAAGGAAAATGTTTAAACAACTGTAGAGCACATTTAAACAAAATCATTGCTGATACTGCTTTGATGAGATACATCTCCGCACACTGGCTCTAATATCACTCAAATCCATAGTTACCAGAACACCATTAGACCTACAGTGTTACAAGCAAAGAAAAATAGGTCATGTGACAATGGTCAGCATTTGGATTTACATCCATCTGCTTCAGAATCTAAACTGGACCCCCAAAATCAAGCTGTTTGGGATTCTGTGCATCCTCCCAGACTCTACATGAAGTCACGATGCCTTGAGTGTGTTTGATATCAGGGGATTCAGGATCTTCATGTTCCTCTCTGCTGCTTTTAAAAAGGTTTGAGAGCTAATAACAATCACAATATAATTCTACACATCTGCTTCCTTTGTAAGTAAAGACCTTCAAAAGCTACAGCCAAATTCCAAATGAGGAAGAATAGAGTTTTAACAAATTTGACATATGAAGCAGTTGGAAGGGCTGAGAACTACATTATACAAAACTTAAGAGCAAAAACATCATACTCTGTCCTGACTCCATCCTTTTGAGGTGAAATCCTTGATTATATTCCAAACATACCTTAGTTGTAACTGCCCTCAGCAGTTTTCTATGTGACACCATTTTATAACCTCACACATCATCAAAATCACCCATCAGCCGTATTGACATCATCTGTGACTCTCATGTTCCCCAAGAAATGGAATTTAATACCTTTATATGAAAACCTGTCCCCTTTTCTGACGGTTGATGGATGTATTTTCTTGCTACCCAAAATCTGGCTCAAGTCAATACATCCTCCAACTGGAGGCCCCTGTGCATTCTGGCTCTTCTTCCACTCCATCATTCATGACAAAACCTTCCGTCATCGTGGCCCTACTCTTTATAGCTCGCTCCTTCTGACAGGGTAGAGAAAGACAGTAACCACATGTGCAGGCTGGGGGGTGGGGGCATAGTCTGAAAGTTAGTGGTGGATCTTTCAGGAGTGACATTAGGAAAGACCCTGACGCACGATGAGTGACAGAAGTTTGGAATTTCCTTCCTGAGCAGAAACTGGACCAATTGTTAATCTGAAATAGATAGTACTTTTGGTTGACAAAAATCCAAGGAACAGGAGGAAAAGGCACATTTATGAAATTGAGTTGCAGATCAGCCAAGACCCCACTGAATGGTGGGCCAAATGTAAGGGGATAAATGGCCTCTTCCTATTCTCCTATGACCCTTATGTTCTCATGGCACCAAGTATGTTTTTTGGTTGTGTTGCTGAAACTGATTGGCCACTGTTTCTCTCATAGTCATACGGTCATACAGCAAAGAAACAGACCATGCTGAACATAATCTCAAACTAAACCAGTTCCACTCGCCTGTGCTGGCTCATATCCCTCCAAACCTTTCCTAGTCATGAAACTATCTAAATGTCTCTTAGATGTTGTAATTGTACCCACATCTACCACTTCCTCAGGAAGTTCATTCCACACGCAAACCAGCCTGTGTAAAAAATTTGTCTCTCGTATCCTTTTAAAATCTCTCTCCTCTCACCTTAAAAATGTGATCCCCAGTCTTGAAATCCCCCATCCTAGGGAAAAGGCAACCACCATTAACTCCATCTATACTTCTGGGGTGTTATCTTTGTTAAAAGTGCCACATAAATACAAGTTGTCCTTTTGTCTTTGAGTTACAGACTTATATAAGGGACTGGATTGATGAAATAACATAACACACAGCAAGTTAATATGCACTAGAGTGGGGATAAAGAGGGACAAACATGGACTGTGCATTCAGCTGCATAGCTGGGGAACTCATGCAGGGTCTAAACAATGTTATAGGGATCAGTATAGATTGAATAATGCATCATACGTTAAGAAGTGATATTGGGCAGATCAATTACTGCCTTGCAATTTGTCCTTTGTACCCCAGTTTCTATCAGAAAGAGTGCTAACTGCTTGACCAGCATGAGCATTCCTTGTGTAAGAGCCTGATTGTGCGCTTTGGGTGCATCCAACATCAGAAACTTAACAGCAAAGCTCAAGCCATCTTCACATGAGGTGGACGTGCTTGATCGTGATTGTCTCCAACACTGCTCTCAATGTTCATCTTCCCACGCTCTGGGATGGGATGCCAAACTAAAATACTGGTTTGCTAAAGCAATCCAATTGGCTTATACAACTCAGCCCTGTGATTTCTACTCAGATTTGTTGCAGTAAGTGTTGCATTTACCCAATCAGTGAATAGGGAGGTGAACAAAAGCAATTGAACAAAGTGATCAGCACAGATTTCAAAACTATACTGGAAGTCTACTTAAAAACATACAACACTTGGGGCTGGTGAAAGCAGTACTATATTAATGTGCTGAGTAATCTGTGCTTTTATAAAGAGCAATAGTAAGTGTCTTGCACTTAGCCGATTTTCCCATCTCATATTTTATTGATGTTTGGTCTGAATGCACAGAATGGGATGAAAGTGAAGGTAGTGACTGTTTACTAAAAGCAGATCTGTAAATAAAAAAAAACAGATGATTTGACTTAGCAAGAAAGCAGGCAATTAGTCACACGAGTGTCTGGTATTCCAAGCTTGCATCAATATTGGATTACTAATAACCTTGAAACATACTAAATTCAAAACAACTGTTTGGTCTCCAATTCCATTGGCTTCAGAAGGACCTATCAATACATCAAAAGTACATTTTGTATATTCCAGGGCCCATCAATTCCCAAATTACAGGAGACAAACATCAGAGTCTGCCAACTCCCACAGCCCATTCGGTAAACATCAGAGTCTACCGACTCCCACAGCCCGTTTGGTAAACACCAGAGTCTGCCGACTCCCACAGCCCGTTTGGTAAATGCCAGAGTCT